TAGCGCCTTGTTACTCTGGGTTTTGTCTGTCTTAAATAAAAATCCAACTCGGTTCATGAACTTATACAATATTTACAAGAGCACAAACAAAACACTGGTATATATTCCTTATGAAGATCACTAGTATGTCCGGAAATTGAGCTAGAGTGCCACACCATGAGCTGTCAGAGCTCCATCAACACCAAGTGCATTGTAGATTTACACCAAAGATCTTCACTCCCTAAGAGCAAGTCTACCTTCGCATTTCTTAGGGACCAAACGCTGTGTATGCTTTTCTGAGAGATATTTCTGGAGTGAAAAAACACTGGGATGGATATTAGTTCTGTTACTGCTTATGTAAATCTAGATTAAATTTGCTGTTGACCACCATGAATTCTCTTGCACGCTTTTTCTCCTCTCATTATCAAATCAAGTAAGCAGGGGTCACTCAGCAGGTCCAATTGCTTGTTTTGTGTGCTGTGCACACTAGCAGTGTTTTTTTCCCCTCATATATTCAGTGTCCAAGCCTGTTTCCACAGTTATGATGGTAAAACATACAATCAGTCTGAATTATGGAGCTATGAATAATACAGTTCTTGGAAAATGAATGGTAGCCTGCATCATGTCTTAAAAAGTTCTAACAGCAACTTGTTTTTTCTTTGACATTGTAAAATTAAAAAAAAAAAAGAAACCCCTAAACTCCCAAAAGTAACCCCAGTATCCTCCTCAAAATGGCAATGGTCAGGAAAAAGTTAGACTCCTGCAAGCCTAATGGACAAAGAGACTATAAAACAGAAATGCTGCTGTTTCATCTGCTACAAATTAGTATCAAGTCTTGTGATACTATTGATTTGCTTGCACTATATCAAATTTTAATCACCATAAACCATTGCCTAGCGCAGTTCTTCCACTAGGCAAGTGTTCTTAGGAGATAACTTTGATTATCTTGGGTGTCTCCAGAAATCTTTGAGTTTGTATGAGATGAAACTGATAGATACATTTAGGCTCCACAATATCCTTCATAAAAATTTATTCATGCAAAATTGGTCTTTTCAAAAGATTCTTTTTAGCTGTTCAAAATTGTTGCTCCAACAGTTCATGCTAAAGAACAAAAATCCCCTTCATTCTAATTTGGTTGGAAATAAGTTTCAAGAAAAAATGATGTAACTGGATTTAACTCTTGTAAATATTCACTGAGCACCAAATGGTGAAGTGCTTCCATAAAAATATTAAAACTCCCCAAAACTTAAATCATTAGTAGAACTTTCTTGGACTTCTCTCCTTCCTTGTGAGGATGGAAAGCCTGATCCAATACACTAATTTAACAAGAAGGCCTCATAATCTGAATTTTCACAGTTCTTAATTAAAACTTCAAACGTGTGGATGTTTCCTACTGAAAGCAACTAAACAGCTTGCTATCATGGCTCTTAAGAGTTTACTGGATACTAAATTTCATCTCCCAGGAAAACTGTTTGGATTTAATGATTTAATTTTGTAGGAAACAGTCCAGAGGGCTAACAGTTAAACCAAAGAAGTTTTACTAAACAGAACAATAAAAATTAATTAATTAGCTGCCATATAGTGCTTTGATAGAGGCATTGAATAAACCTGAGATGATTTATCAGCCAAGAGCCTTTGTGTGGTAGGTATTAAAATTATCTGTCTTTAACCTTATGCTACAAACGAAAGTGCCTGGATACAGAAGTTAAATGACTTCCCAAGGTCCCATTTGAAACTAGCAAGACAACTCAGGCATTTACTGACTTCCATTCATTAGAGATAATTTGTTTTAAAAAACATTAAAGGAATTCATGAGATAGAGATCATGACCTGGAAAGGCACCATCACTTCCCTAAGTTCAGTTTCAGAAGGCAGAAAAGTTGAGAGATGACTGCTGAAATATGATTTGAAGAAAAGGAGCTAGCCATCCAAGCCTAGAATGGTAGCATCTAAACTGTTTTGCTTTATTATTATTTTTTACCCCAGGTATCAGTATGACAATGAGTCATTTTGAATGACACACATCATAGTTAAGCTGGGTCTCATTCTTGAGGTGCTCTGCCTTCTTGGACTGCCTGAGACAAGAAGGCTTCTAAAACGTAGGTATCACCGATAAAGTGCCTCAGGTCTCATGGGATGACACCTTACTCTGGGTTTCTAACACAACCCATAGATAAAACTGGTTGTCAGCAAATGTCTAGAAAAATGAGAATTAATCTTTGTGGTTATTATTCTCAAACCAACCATATTATAGCAAGACAAGTGAAAAGCAAAAGACAAAATGATGATAAGAGGTGGGGAAGGGAAAACACACAAATCATGAAAGCTGCTCTTAAGAAAAGATTTAAGTATTCTGCAATATGGACTATAAAAGAAAGTTAACTTCCATAAGTCTCATTCTTACAGCATATACTTTTGAAAATATATTGACTATGCAAAGAAAATTTTGCCATTTGTATCCATCAAATATCAAGAAATGCATTTTCTTTTCTCAGAATGGCAAAAAGTAGCTTTATATAAAGTATTAAAACAAGGGTTATTTTTCCTGACCTTTTGATAGACTTTATATTGAGCTTGGTAAGACATCCAAGAAATTCAGATGCTGATTTTAAAATTAATGATCAATATTATAGAGTTTTCACAGTATTGGATTTGCAGTGCCAAATTCCTCTAACATAAACAAGTGCAACTCCACATACTTCAGTAGAACTCTGCATATATTAGCAAGCAATTCTGGCCCTGTGCCCAGCAAAGGATCTTACATTCCATAGTCACTTGATCATGTCTCATCTTCAAACCACATTTCACTATTTGTAAAATACTTGACCCACAAAACCGTAGAAGCCCATCTGCTAATATACCATTGTGAATCGTTAAGGAAAATCATGGAACTATTTTAAGAGTAAAATCTAGTGTACAAGGGATGTAAATCTATTCCACATATTTATTTTCTTGGGCAGCCTGATGAACCTGAAACTTGGGTTTCAAAAATTCCACTTGCACTAGGAATGAATTTCTTCAAGATACTGTATTACACAAAACAGAAAGAATCCTTATAAACAAAAGACTAAGATCCACCTAAAAGAACTCATCAATTAACAATCTGCTTCTAGTTGTCTGGAACAACCTAAACCAAATAAAAATATTAGGTACTAGGACTAATACATCTACTGTTACTATCGTTGTTTTACTGGTGCAGAATCTACAGATGACCACATAATGTTCAAAATCAGTAACCAAACTCTAGTTTGGTCTCAAGTACATGTCTAACATAATGTTAGGCTGGTAAAACCAAAGCTAGATAACTATAATCACTCTTGTTGGGTTTCCCATTGAAGGTGTTGGGTTTTTTTTTTTTTTTTTGTTGGGCTAGGGGTGCTCTTTTTTTTTCCAACTATACCCTTTAATATACATTTTTCCTACTTTTATGTCACTACCTTTTATTATCTTTTTAAAAAAACCTACTTAGTTATTTTTATCTTTTTAATAATGCTATTACACCTGCAGTTACAACACACTGTTGCAGATCAGTGGAGGAGGGGACTGCTATAATACTAACCACATATGTTCATTGTGCATTATGTATGAGGCTACAACTCTGACAGCCACTACAGAATAACTCTGAACATCGTGGAGGGGTTTTCTGATTGGTTGTTTTTTCTCTTTACACACCCACTGGCTATTTCCTTTTTCATTGCCACAGCTCCAAGAACCAGGCAGCAGTAACAAATCTTTGCATAACACAGAGGGAGGGACTGAAAGCTGCTGATAGTCCTGTGCTCCTCTCACAGATAACAGTAATAAACCTGTATTCAGCACTGTACAGAATCCAACCAGAGCTTTTAAAACCTGGAGACCTGCCTTTAGGTGCCTACAAGGACTACAGCAACCATCTGATTCCCAGACCCTGAATGAGGTATCTTGAGTCTCCACTTTGTACATGAGAAGAGTGATGCTCCAGAACAGCACCTTACTCCCACTAAAAATACTTCCCCCCCTCCCCCCACACACATTTGTCAGAAACTCTCTAGCTTTAGTCTACTACCCAAGAAACCCTTACTCCTTGCTCCAGCTCAGGTACTAGAGAATTAGGATGACACCTGTTTTAAGAAGAAAAGCCATTCAAAAGTATAGTTCAATACTTGCCAAGTCAGTAATTCCCTAACAACATTTTCCTCTGCTAAAGAACACATAGCATGGGTAGAGAGAAAGGATGTTGCAAAGGGGCTACGTAGTCTTCAAAATAATGTTAGGACAGAGACATCAATAATGCCACATAATAATATCACACAAATCCCTGAGTTATATAGGTCTTCAAGAAATACAAGAATTTGGCACAGTTCTTGATCTGTTAAAGGGCAAACTGAGATCAACATTATTATTTTATTAAAAGCCCATTCAATGAACAACTAGGTTTCAATCATTGTGTTTTATACTCCTCATGGTAGAACAGAGCTGTTTCAATATCATCCCTGAAGAACTGAAATTAGCATGTGATTTTACACAGCAGGTCTCATTGGAAAGAGAAGATACAATATATTTGTAACGCAGACCTTTCAAGAGCCAATATGGTCTCAGGGCTATGCCTTCTCTATATGTCCTTTTCCTTAACTTAGCTCAGCATGACAAACTCTTCAGTCTAGAGCAGCCTTTGGACAGTACCAGATACAGTGTGTGAAGCACCTATTTGGCTTTTTACTTCATAGAGATTAAGATCTATCATCCTGTTAGTAAAGCTGAACTGAAATTTACTTCTTGCTACTCATGACTTTTGACAAAATACTGGAAATACCATTTTTCACATGCTCAATTTCTTTCATGAACTGCTAAAATACAGCACATATTCCTCTCTGCCACTCATCCAGACATTTGCTGTGCAATCACCAGGACAGAGTTGACCAAAACTCCTGAAACCTGTATTACAGAAATGTTCCCTCTAACATTTCAGCCAGTATATAATTTTCCTCACCTCTCCTAGAGAGGGAAGATGGAAATCTAGCTGTGTCAATAAGCTCACTTACCTCTACTAACTTGTTGGCGTGTTCACGGAAGACCTGAGCGTACTCCTTCACTTCTTTCTCATTCCCGCTTTTTGCAGCCTCAATGAGAACCAGTAATGGGACATTGGTCTCCAGGAATGAATCCGATATATGATCCATTACTGCCTTCCGTAGCTGTGACAAAAGAAAGCAGACCGGTAAATAAAAGGAGAATTACAAATATACATTCCCACCGCATTCATTGGCTACTTATTTTTAAGCATTGATGTGTCGCGTCTCACAGCATTGCATGGGAGTTGGGGATTTTTTCTTTCTTTCCTCCAAGTTATATATTTGCAGCAAGCATACAAATATCAAACACTTAAGGGCCTAGGCTCTGCAAAACCCTCCTGAGATTTGTGCTGACTCATCCATCTAATCCTACTGGACTGAATAGATCTATATGGGACGATGGTGATTACACACATAATACAATGCAAATTGATGAGAATAGAAAGCAGCACACCATTTAAAAAACAGTTCAGCTCACTTAAAAGCCAAATATGGATTAAGGAGCTTAACTTCAAGCAACCAGTAAAAAAATATTAGCCTGGATATTACTAAGCCTCCTCTAATACTTGCACTGAATAGTATTCTACACAATTAGTATTTTGTTTAGTACATGCCTTGTGCTTCACGTTCTTTTCCAAATACCTCCAACAGGCATAAACAGAAAACCTTTTCAAACATTTTTCAGGTAGAATAGAAAACATACTACTACTTATTCCTAAGCAAAAAAATCCCAAAACACAACACCCTTCAAGGTATTGAAGATTAAACACCTGTTATTTCATAAAAACATCTATTTGAAACAACATTGCTGTAAGAATGATGGCATTAACTTCTTCTCTACCTTGCTAATAACCACTAATTAATGTCAAACTTCACTAAAATTTGAAAGCCAGCCAGAAAGATCACAGAAATCTTAAGTAATTCTTCCTGGAAAGTTAATTGCTCTATAGGAATATGGATCAGAAATATTTTTTAGCGTGCTTTCCCCAGCTTTTTGGTTGTTAGGAATGAAAAACTATGAACTCAAACACAAGCTGGGAGCTATTCAGCCTGGAGGTCTGTCTAGCCATTAGTTTCCTTAAATCGTGCATTTTCAGTTAGACAAAACATCAGGAAAGGTAATTTTCTCCATTTTGCAGTCCAGACTAGAAATCTCTAGCTAGACAAGGTGTTATCAAAACATCCAATCATATTGAAAACCAGTATATTGTTAGGCACTGTAAATACATGATCTGAGATGCATTTGCTGTTCCGCAGCAGCAATTGTCAGCTCTATTTGACCAAGGAGAAAGCTAACTTGGAATATTTCCATTCAGTCCCCAAGTGCTGCAGTAAAAACAAGCAGAGCAGTTTTATAGGTGTATGTGTCTGCATGCAGTATTGCTTTTATTTGTATTACAATAAAAGCAGACAATTTATTAAGAAAAGTTACTCTTAATTTCCCTTAAAAATTAATTCTGCTCAGATTCTACCTGAAAAGTAATTGTCCACTTCCAAAATGATTAAAGGCACTCAGAATAGCTACCACAGTAATATATACAAACAGGGGGGAAAAAAGACAAAAAAAAGAAAAGAATATATCAAAGAGAGCTACCAACAGAAGCTGGTGTGTGGTAGCTACTACCTATCACATTGTCACCTTGAACTCTTTCTTTTTTTCTCTTATCAATCTGTTGCTATCCACTTGCTGACTCTTGTTTTATTCTTACATTGAGAACTCTTTCAGACCGTCCTTTGGGTCTGTTTGCACAGCATCTCATACAATGAGATCCTGATCCATGAAGAGTTTTCATAGGTACCATACCGATACAAAGATAAACATTAATATTGTTCGAAATACATCAAAGCATTGCAAAAGAAAAGAAAAAAAAATACAGTAGGATGTTAAGTTTCAGAGAGCAGTGCACCAGCATAGCACTCTGCACTATATGGCTGATAGATTTCCAATCACTATGTATATTTTTTCTATTAAGGGAAGAGTTTTATGTTTAGCCAACATTACGGGAGAGATACACCTGGAAGTACTGAAATAGGCCAAACAGTAGCATTTCCAAAGGAACACACAAAGGTTTTAAAAATCCCATGTGTTTTCCATCTCATTGTCAAGGAAAAATCCTATAAAAAAATCCACTTGCTCAGGTTCAATACTGTTATCAATAAAACCTACTGCCCACTGCACTGGAAAAACCACTTTAATGTTAAATGAGTGCTGACACTTTACTGTTTATATTATTCCATAAGGAGGTTTCAAAGTGTTGTGTTCAATGAACAAGCAATTCAATTTTTAATCAAGGTTAATGTGGTATTATAGATCCCATTGAAACAATACGCCCCATGGAACTGTAAGAAAAGTCTCAGGATGTTTAAATACACAGCTTATTATCATTGGTATTAAATATCTTCAGTGTACAAGCACATATTAGAAATCAATACAAAGGACAGTAAGAGCATCAGCTAACCAGCGATTTGGGGTTTACCGTTGTCAATATGCAGTAGAGTTATATCTGAATCAAAATGAACGAATGAAATGGATATCTTGTTTCTAGTGGTAACTGTACGTTGCCTTCTGCAGTTCAGAGTTGCGACAGCTGAAAAAAAAAATCTGAATTCTGACTGTCACAAGTTTGATTAACACAAAATTAACAAACTTTATTTTCCTATGTCGTGTTGATCATAGATGTCAGCAGTATATTTCTGAGCCCTCACGTAAACCCACATTATAATTTCTTTAGAAATCTGTTATCTGAGTTTTGGGATGCCCTTGCATTGAAGTTGAAAGGTATAGTTAATGCTTTTTTTATACATGCAGGAGAGCACAAATTTTGCTATCCATCACCGCAGGCTATAAAGAATGACTTGACAAAATAATTTGCGAAATGTGACAGGAGTATGAACATAAGACATTCATCCAATAGCTCAAATGGATATGTGACAAAGTAATATTAATTGCACAAGACAAGACATTTAAAAGTATGAGCTCAGCATTACAAGTCTCTTTGATCCAATTAGGGCTATTCATCAAGGTAAATAACTACTGGAAAACTAATCCTGTATGTTCCTCTGCATACTACAACAAAGTCCAAAGTGGTGGCTTATGCATCCAGAGATTTTACTGTTTTCCTTCAACTAACCTCAGTTCAGAAGAGAATGGGAGAAGTCTGTGACTTGAATGTAAATGGTCACAAAACATGCAACAAAAATAAGTCAAGTTTTATTCTAAAAACAGCATGAGATCTTGTGCTTACATATACATTAACAAATGTCTTTGCAATGCCTGAATTTACCCTGCATTCTGATGTAAATATTACGACAAAAACTACTACTCATAAGACAATGCTTTAGTTTTTTCCCCACTGAAATTTTAAGTCAGAGATGACTTCAAAGGGTGGGGAGTTTCCACTAAATGAAACTCCACTTGCTCAAGGAGAAAGCACATTAAATAAAGGTCTTGCTTAACTCATTTTGTCATGGAGAACACTTGAGTAATTAATAAACATATAGCTAAAAGAATAGTAAGTTTGCCAGACCAGCACAAAGATATAAAAAGCAAACATCAAGGCCTGCAAATATTTTTATAAGTATGAGCGCTGTACCACAAGGCAGATTTTATGTCTTTCCAGTTCAGTCAATTTAACCAGTTTATGGGGCAGAGAGTCAGCTGCTGGTTTTGACAGCATCATGTTCTACTGTCCTAAGCACTATTTAGGGTTGCTTTATCATTGTTGATTCACAGCGATAATTGAGCTCAAAGAGGTTAAACTGCCCACTGGAATGATGTTTTCCATGGCTATATTACAATTTTAGAACCGAAAACGTCCCAGTGCTACTTACAGTCTGGTAGAGAATGAAATGTCTAATCCTGACACTGGAAGGTAAAGTCACAGCAGGAGATTAATGACTCCAACAGATTGTTAAACGTTATAAAGACTGGCAGTATAAAGCTGTCTGTAACAAAAGTTTACCAAGGAGGACCTTATTCACCGTTTTCTACTATTTAATGTGTATTATAGGCTGAACCCAACTCCAGTTTAAAGCTGCTGAGCTCTCCCAAACATCTATTAATTTAATTGAAAGAGATGAAAATAAAGCTTTCTCCACTGCAGTTAAAGTGCATCTCCTCCAATATATTGTGAAATTGAGTTCTGGAGAATAATACGGTGACCATTAGAAGCTACTGCAGTTTATAGTGCTAAATAGAAAGTCTTAGTTGATTCTGCACACTACAACCCGTGAAGATGTGACCAAAAAAAAATGGTAGATTGAGGGATATGGACGCTAACTCCATCAATTATGTCTTGATAGATTAAACAGGAAAAAGATTAACATTTAGAGCATGTACCACACACAGACACTCAAACTACAAATTTTTGGAATATACAACATAAATATTTAATATTTGAACCCAAGATAAGACCCTAGGAAGAAATGTTGTTACAAAGACTGATTATGCTTCCTCATATATTTTTCTGTTATGTGAGCTTTCTGCTCTCTAAAGAGAAACTCCCCTAGTCAGGAAAAGACCAGGGATGAGTTTAGTAATGGGAAGCAACTTCAAGTGACAAGCTTTGACCAGAAATTTGAAAGAGAATAAGACACACACATAACAAAAGTTCCTCCTAGTTGTAGATCACTACAAAGAACTGCTCAAAATGGTCTATGGCCAGAACTACAGAGGAACCTATTTACCAGGTACTAAAGTACTTAATTCCCATTGATTAACTTTTTTTTGGGGAGAGGGTGGGTGGGGTGGGGGTGATTTATCAATTTTAGTGGCTTGGAAATTTTATACTGACTTTAAAAAAAAATTGGCAAGAGCTAGCCTTGGACTACTGAAGTTACATGAAAGTAGAGAAGAGTTTATGAGCTTGGGGGACAGACATCCACATACTCCTCAAACACAAGAGTATTAACTGGGCAAGAAATCTGTCTTGTTTGATGTCTGGACAGAACAACAAAATCCCAGTGCTGGGATAGTACCAAATATTTATTATTTTTAAAAATAAAGAACAATACAGAGCATTAAAAAGGCAGAAGACAGTAGAGATTAACATCAAAAAATGTGGGAAAACAGGAGGACTGAAATACAGGTAGGGACTGAAGAGTCAGTGGAAAGCATTAGTGAA